ATGGTCCCGGCGTGGATGTTCTCGGACCCACTACATATCAAACTTGTTCAACAACACTGGGAACATTGGCTGTCAATGTATGATGAACAAGTCCCTCTGTTAAACCACTTACAGAGGGGAGTGGATCAGTTAACCATCATCATGCACGCCAGGGCGCGGGCAACCAAAGCAGCGCATATGCAGACGGGACAAGGATTTGTCTGCCGTATGGAAGCACTGGGCACTGACCCGCCACCTGAAGAAGAGGATGGATGGTTGCTCAATGGACTGCACTCCATGCAGAATGGACACAATGGCAGAAAACAGACGCTCTGCTATGGGGCATGGCAACAAAGGCGAAATGGGTACAATCGACGGAAAGAATGTCAGCCTGCTTCTTCAGACAGCGGGGCAGCAAGACCGGTGCGGATACCATGAACACACTGCAGCATCCATTCCTCCATGACAGCCCGATGGCGGTGACCACGAAGGACATCCTTCAATATGCAGCGAACTTTTATGGTGACCCTTACACCGAATCCGGAGACTGGACACGACAGACCATAGAGGACTTACCACACAAGGAAATCTGGAGCAAATGCGAAACACGGCTGACAACGGACCAAAGTGCTCACCTTGACACTCCGATCACATCACAAGAGGTGCAGAGGGCAGTGACGGACATGCCTCGTGGTAAAACTGCGGGACCAGATGGAATGCCAATGGAACATTACCATGCAATCCTGCCAATGTTGTTGCCAGCCTTTGTTAAAGCCTTTACCATGCAATCCTGCCAATGTTGTTGCCAGCCTTTGTTAAAGCCTTCAATGCCCTGTTCCAGGGAACAGACCAACCACCCCCCTCATTTGGGCAAGCTATCATTATTCTCATACACAAGAAAGGTGACAAGGAGGAGATCCGTAATTGGCTTCCCATCTCCCTGCTTTCAGCACTGTACAAGATCTATGCCAAAATCTTGGCAAATAGACTGACGGTGGTTCTACCGGATCTCATACACCCAACACAAACTGGTTTTGTAGCGGGCAGACGGATCCTTACCAACGTCCTGTTGGCAAGACAGGTGCTGGAAGTAGCGGCACATCATTGCCCTCAGCTGTCATTGTTGCTCCTGGACTTCGAAAAGGCATATGATAGGGTCCGCTGGCTATTTCTCATTCAAGGCTTGGTGGAGAGAGGACTGGGACATACCTTCACATCAGAGGTATCCGCTCTGTTGACCACAGCTGAGGCAAGAATCCAAGTCAATGGCTTCAGGTCACCACTGATGCACATCACACGTTCGGTCAGACAAGGTTGTCCACTGTCACCGGCCCTGTACGTGCTGCACGTGGAACATCTACACGAAATGATCAGAGCAAATCCGGACATTTGGGGACTTCAGCTACCCAACGGATAGGAGCTCAAGACCGGGGCCATTGCAGATGACACAGCCGCGGTGACTGAAACCACGGACCAGAGCATTGAGGCCATCAAACATGAGGTCACTGTCTTTGAACATTTTGCTGGTGCAAAGATCAATTGGAGTAAGTCTATGGCATTGACCCCTCCCGGAGTGGACAATTCGCCGTTACAAGGAATGCTCATACAAGAGGAGAATAGACAAACACGGCACCTGGGGCTGTTGCTGCCAGCAACTCTTACCACCGGCGAACAGATGGAAGATCTCCTACACAAAGCGATAACGAAAATGACGGACTGGGCGAAGGGCACTTCGTTGGGGGTTATTGGTCGTACCCTTATTGCTAATAACACGGTCTCTTCTATGCTCTGGTATGCAGCAGCTGTCTCCTCACCTGTCAAGAAGGCATGGAGAAATTACAAGATTGCTCTGCGTCGCTACCTTTGGAAAAATGATCCTCAATCTCACCATCTCATCTACCGAGTCAGATGGGAGAAACTGATACAACCAAGAACCAAAGGTGGGCTGGGTCTGTTGGACCCCCACAGGCAAACCACGGTGCTTCATATGCGAACGGTGCTCTGGCTGCTTCTGGAGGACGACAATGCACCGTGGAAGATATTAACGATTCAGCTCATGGCAGATGCAATCCGGATACACCCGGCGGACGTGGAAATGGCGCTCCTTCACCCACCGCTTCTGCAAGGACTGAAGAAAGATGCTTTGTGGACACCCACACTGGAACATTGGCGGGAAGCACCTTTACACCAATCTGCACCGCGTTCCTGCGACCATATTCTGCAACAAACACTCTTTGGTAACCGATTCATTATTTCACACCAAGGTCAACCGTTCCCATGGCAAGATCGTTCAGCTTCATTCGGGCGGCAATGGCTGGCATGTGGAATTTATCATATAGCAGATCTGTGGGACTTGAGCACGGGCACATGGAGATTGGAAGAGGATATCCTCCCTCAACTGAGACATCAACCTGCCAAAGTTGAGCGGCTCCGGGAAATCAAAACGGCGATTCCAGAACATTGGGTGGACCTGCTGCACCAAGGCCACAGACTCAAAGACGAATGGGTGGTCAGCAAAAAGGAAGAGCAACCGTTGACCTTCTTCACGCTGCAATGCAGAATGGGCCAAGAGTGGCACTATGGTCGGGCTTGGACAACCACAGCAGCCACAACACCAGTCACCGGCCTAATTGGTCACCCTCTTGTCAGATGCTGTGCACAAGATGGGCTGCTCCACAAAGATGAGATGCGATCTGTTGTTGTACTCAGAGACCATGCGGGATCGTCTGCACAAGTCTATCGACCATATAGACCCTCAAAGACACCGCTGCAGCTGCCGTGGGACCCGTCTGTATGGGAATGGGCTAAAACGAACTCGTTGGCCAAACCGTGTCGCATCCACCAAGTCACTACGAAGGTGATGTACCGGGCCATGAACCCCCGCACGGATATGGCTGTGGAGATGAAGACACGCTGGCTAAAACGTGGGTGGGTAACCGACGCAGATCTCATAGGCTGGACGCAGTCCACTTGGGAGAAGGCTTGCCCACTGCTTACAGCATTGCCCGACCAGAAACAAGCTGGAGAACTGTGGCTGTCCCTGCAACTTGCACAGCCTACCTTCCAGTGGATGGCGGACAAAAGCTCACATGAAGACATACACTGTAGACATTGCCTGCTACAACCAGAAACGTTGCCCCATCTCTGGCTGGACTGCGAGCCTCAGCAAAGATTCTGGGAATGGTGGCAAGACTTGGGCCCGACGGTCCCTCTCAATGGCCTGGGCACACTGCGGCCTGCTATCCTATTGGGACAATTGCTCACAGGACAGGTGGATACTGTACAAACGGCATACGCAAACGGTCAGAGCGGCCTTTTGGGCGGCCGCCTGGGCAGTGAGAGTAAGACAACTGCGTGAAGGCATGAGGAGCTCCTTTCCTGCACTCCATGCTTGGACACTGAAGAATCTGCGAATCTCCCTTGCAGCGGATGTGGCACGCAAAAGAAATAGAGGTTGGAGGTTCTTCTGCAATGCTTGGGCCAGATATGGAGTAGTACAGATCGGTGAGCAACCCGGCCAATGGCAGTGGAAGTTGAACACAAGCATGAATAACGACAACTGTGACTCTGACATGGAAGACCAATCTCAATGCCGCCATCCGGATCACACCCATCAAGACAGCTGTAGCCATGAAAGGGTGGATCGATCTGATCAGCAACAACAGCAATGGGCCGGAGAGGAGGATTGCGACAGGGAAGAAGATGTCATACACTTCCGGGATGATCTGATGAACGACTTGGGTTGGCCAGCAGAGGGGCCACATTTGACAAACGGCCTTGCGCAAGAATGTACAGAACAAGACGGTGATGGCTTACCTTCTCAGGAAAATGACCAACATGTAAGGATCAACAGGGCCACACAACTTCAGCAAGATTGGCTAGGCAGCCGGGACACACACGATTGGGGATCTCTGGAGGATTTGCCAGACAGCTGCTGCTGATAATGAACTGCATGACACATGTACTGCAATTATAGCTGGGAAGAATGGAATGAGAATGTGGACTGCGCTCACATCTTTGTAAGACTGAATGTGTAGGCCGAATACCACTAGAATACATAGAAATCCTGTTTGGCTGTATAAAAATAAGGGGGCTGGGTGATAAGATAGATTTCTGATTTCTGTCAATACGCTTTACTGTACAATTAGTTTTGGTTCTGGGTTTAAAATGCAGGGGTATGTAGAAGTGTGTAAGATGTGATGTTAAATGGACAAACTGTAACAATTCTTTTAGATCAATAGGGGTACTGGATACTGTAGAGCATAGATTCTTAGACATTGCTGAGAGGGGTTAAAACTGGGGGGGAGTCTATGGAACAAGGTACACAAGATACTCATAGGGACTAATGAATCAGATGCGACAAACGAACTATGGATACCAATTTCTTAGGGGGGAGCAAGGGGCAGAGGTGAGGACCTAGCACCGCAAGGAACTCTGCGAGTGGAAACAGTGACTGGGTGCATTGAGGCTTCCCGACTGGTTCCCCACGCAGAATCACTGGCGATGAGTTCGTCCCCCCCTCTGCCCTGCTGCAGGGGGGTGAAACGCCGGTTTCACCTGAAACCCCCGACCCCCACCCTTCTTTTCTATACTGCCCTTTTTCTTTTCAATACATTGTCTGTCTTTGCTTGCCGGTGATAAGCAACCGGACTGCTGCCCCCCAGAATAAATGGGGCTTGAGTGTGTTGTGTTTGTTAAAAAAAAGAAACTGCGAATGGCTCGTTAAATCAGTTATCATTTATTTGGTGGTCTCCTTACCACTCGGATAACCGTGGTAATTCTAGASCTAATACGTGCAGCATATCCCGACTTCTGGAAGGGATGTATTTATTGGATAAAAGGCCGATCCGGGCTTGCCCGTTGTTGCGGCGAATCATGGTGACTTGTCGAATCGCATGGCCTTTGAGCCGGCAATGTTCCATTCAAATTTCTGCCCTATTAACTTTCGATGGTAGGATAGAGGCCTACCATGGTGGTAACGGGTGACGGAGAATTCGGGTTCGATTCCCGAGCGGGAGCCTGAGAGATGGCTACCACATCCAAGGAAGGCAGCAGGCGCGTAAATTACCCAATCCTGACATAGGGAGGTAGTGACAATAAATAACAATACTGGGCTCTTTCGAGTCCGGTAATTGGAATGAGAACAGTCGTAAACTCCTTGAACGAGGATCCATTGGAGGGCAAGTCTGGTCCGCGGTAATTCCAGCTCCAATGGCGTATATTTAAGTTGTTGCAGTTAAAAAGCTCGTAGTTGGATTTTGGGTGGGAGGGGTTGGTMCGCTCTTGCGGGCGTGTACCGGCCCTTTCGCCTTTCTTGCTGGGTATGCGTTCCTTGCCTGTATTGGCTGGGATCCAGAGCCGGCSCTGTTACTTTGAAAAAATTAGAGTGTTCAAAGCAGGCCTGTGCTCTGAACATATTAGCATGGAATAACGCGATAGGACTCTGGTCCTATTTCGCTGGTCTTCGGGATTGGGGTAGCATTTGCCAAGGACGTTCTCATTAATCAAGAACGAAAGTTGGGGGATCGAAGACGATCAGATACCGTCCTAGTCTCAACCATAAACGATGCCGACTAGGGATTGGCAGATGTCCATTGGATGACTCTGCCAGCACCTTGTGAGAAATCAAAGTTTACGGGTTCCGGGGGGAGTATGGTCGCAAGGCTGAAACTTAAAGGAATTGACGGAAGGGCACCACCAGGCGTGGAGCCTGCGGCTTAATTTGACTCAA